ACGAAGTGTGGGGCTTGAGACCTTTACAGGATTGGTGCGATTTGAGGTCTAGGCCGTTGGCAGCCCCGAGGCTTACGTACTGCCCTTGAAGGCATTGCTGTATTGATTACTGCCATTGTTGTCAGGCAAGATCTGGGAGAAGCACATGCGCCCTGCAATGCAGCATCATTCAGGCAGGACCCGGTTGCGCCTGCCAAAATCAGAACCTGTATGCCCAAACCCTGCACTCATGCCCTGCACTTTCCGGGTTCAGGGGCCATTGAACAATTTTGGCATTTCATCCTGTCGGCCTCTGTGCGGAGTGCTGACTGGAGGACAGCGACGGGCAGCCAAAGTGTAGGAGTTAGCAAACCTGGATGCAAGACTCATCGAGAAATTCATTCGTATATCTTTCCTTACCAACCCAGAGGCATCTGTGAAGGAAGCGACCGGCAGAACTGCGCAGGTCAGTAGGGAAGATACCTCTGGCTAGAAATTACCACCGCCAAGAGGCTTTACGATTTGCGGTTCAGTTGGGAAGCTTCTCAGTTTTCACATCCCACAAAACGGAAGTCTACAGCTTTGGTTGGGAGGTGCCGGGCGGCACCCTGCCGTTGTTGACACGGAGGACAGACACATTATGAGTGTTTCTGTTGGTGTTGTTTGGTTTTCCTGTTTCTAGTTTCGGGCTCGGTGGCAGATCAATGTGGCGCAGAGTTTACGCTCTTTCTTTCGTCATCATCATCGTCATCATGAACATGATCACGATCCGATGACGATGACGATCACTATCCTCCTCCTCCTCCTCCTCCTGGTCATCACCACCATCACCATCACCGACATCATCACCAGCAGCACCAACCTCAGCAGCATCACCAGCATCGCGAGCATCACCAGCCTCACCAGAATCACCAGCATCACCTTCATCACCATCACCTTTATCATAGTCATCACCGTCATCACCAGCACAATCACGGCTATTGCTCGTCCTCCTCTTCAGAGTCGTCATGCACACTGGTCATACAGCCGACGAGATCATCACCATCACCATCATGTTTATTCCTATTCCGACCGTCAAGATTATCATGAGGGAGATCACCACGATCATGAGCAGCATCCTGTTCATCCACCGCCTCCTCCTCCTCGTCCTCGTATGCAACGTGCATGAAATGCGGCAGTGCTGGTGATTCTTCCGCATGCGCTGATGGTGGTGAGGCACAGCACTGAACAGAAAAGAAACTCCGAGATGGATTTTAACTCACAGACATTTCGTGAGGTTTTCATGTTTCGATCATCCGCTGCCGCGGACAATCGAAACAGGGCTTCCCTGAAGAATCCGAAAAGCTGTCACACGGGGCGGTGTTTGGGACCATGAACTCACTTAAAACCTGGGAACCTACACCTCAAACCATAAAGCCACTGCAGACCACAGTCCAGAAACTCATTTTCGGACGAGGAAGAGGATGACGGCGAACGTGGGAGCCTCAGCACTCTCGCTGCATCCGCTCCCTCGTGATGGGTTTCGGTTCAAGATCGTATCAGGCATGACTGCATTTTCCATCTTTTCACTCAGGACGCCACGGGCATCCGGTTGTATCCCAAAATCCAGAACACAGCCTGATTTGAAATGAGTTCTTTCGTGCGCACAATTCAGCCTTTGTCATACCAGAAATGTGAAAGTTTCACGCGAACGTTGCGCGCAGTAGGGCTTGACTTCAGGGGTCGTGGGCACTAGGCCACTTGATGCCACTAGAAACAATGGGAACATGGTGCCATGTCTGAGAGTATCTGTCACAGGTTGTTGCTTCGCGAATTCGACACCTCTATGCCGAAATCACAAGGGACTGGTTTTCCTGACTTCTAGACAACTGGCAGGCCGCACCCAAGTCCCCCAAAAGCAAGTGCTACTTGATGATACTTGATGTGGCATCATCCGCGAACTTCATCCAATCCAACATGTCCCTCCAGCAGTTTCGTTGCCGTCTTCGGACGTTTCTCGAGCCCCTCAACTTTCAGAATGAATCCACATGGGTTTCAGCATTAGCCTCTGCATGATTTGCGCATCGGCCCTTAGTGTTGTGCAGTCGGGTGGAGCGTGAAACGTTGAGCTAGGTTGTGCACCTTGGAGCTTTTCGCCGGAGCGCACAGAGTTTGGAAAATCGGCTCGTTACCGACAAAGAGCCCAGCTTCCCTCCTCAAGTTCAATTTCTCCTCCCTTCGAGGTGTGGATCGGGAGGAAGTGTCCCAGACCGGAAAGCCATGATCCCAGCAACAGGGGTTAGGATTGAGTAATTTAGAGTGTAGACGTTGACGGTTAAACGTTCAGAAGTTAGAGTTTAGGGTGTAGGCTTGTGGGCTTTAGTGTGTATCGGTTTGTGGGGTTTTAGTTCGCCCTGCAACCACTCCGGAGCGTTTTCCTGCTTAGCCTCACATCCTGGGAGAGAGGGATCAATTAGTGTTTGTCACTTGTCAGCCAGGGTTATTGACTTTTGCCAGACTCAGAAGACATGTCTTTAACAGCCGTGAGGTTGTGTGCAAATCCATGGAACGGAAGAATTCCTGGCTTAGGGTTAGGGTTCAGACTGTAGTTTGCGGTGAAAATGTTGAGAGCTCATCCGGGGCTTGCCCCAAAGCCCACGTGGACCCAGGCCAAAGAAAAGGAGGGCCTCAGGACCAGGAGCTGCAGATGCCAGGCTGGGGGCCCCTACAGAAGGTTTCGCAGTGTTTCAGAAGATGCCGCGGTTTAGGAGTTGAAGGGTTTCGGTGTGTCCTGGCCTTGAGTGTCGGCAATTTGCGGCTCTTCGGGGTGCTCGGGGTCTCGGGCTTTAGGGTGAGAGCTTGGGGTATCAGTGTTCATTTTGACAGAGAGAGAGAGAGAGAGAGAGAGAGAGAATACTAGAGATAGATGTGTATACTGTGTATATATATATATATATATGAATAGCTGTGTGTGTGTATATATATATATGTATTTCTGTAATACACATGTACACACATTCACATACATACATATTTACAGAATCGGCATTTCTCGCGGGGGCTAAGTGAACGGGTTGGACATGTTTGGCGGGGTTGCTCGAGCCATTGTGTGTGCGGTTTGGAAGCCCTGATGCTATTTCGAAACCGCAAGGTGCGCTGAAACAACAGCTCCACACCCCCAAACCCCGAACCGCAAAAGCATCCGTCAGCGTGCTTTTCAACTCCAGAAGCCTCAAAAACCTCGAGCTTCAAACATTCCTGTTCCGAGGCCGAAGACGACCCGGAAGAAGGCCATGAAGAAGAAGAAAACTGCGGCTTCAGGCCGCCCGGTGCGAAACTACTTTCAGGGTCCTCTATATCCTGGGCTTCAGATGTTTACGGCTAATCTGGCATGTCAGGCTTCAGAGGGTTTCGGATTCAGCTTCCGGGGCTTTTCTGCTGCGAAACGGCTGAGGCTAGTGGCACCTGCTGGCACCTGCTGGCACCTGCTCCCCGATGTCTCTCCACCTCGGAGCCTTGCAACGGAAGTGGAATTTCTTTTTGAAGCGTTTGGTCCTGAATTGAGGCGTGCTGTGTAAGGAAGGGATGACAGCGCTTTGGGGCCTCTTGGAGGTAGCAATCGAGGAAAGACTCTCTAAGTCTATCCCCGACAAGCCCCAAAGGTCCTAAAGCCGACGCCGAGTCTTCGAAGCCTATCGCAGACTCTTCACGCCCGAAGCCTCAAAGCCAAGAGCCCTGAAGCCGAGACCCAGGAGTTCCTGGGTCCAGCCTGAGCTTTGCCACGTGAGCGACACGACGAGGAGGCGAGGGTGTGGGAACACCGGGTGGCTTTGCGGGGTTCCGTGTGAGTGTAAGCCGTAAGCTTTTCTGGGACAGAAGGTCGGAGGGTTTAAAAAGTTCAATTCTTCGTTAGGACTGAGGGTGCTCAGTTTCGGAGTGCAGGCCAGAATAGACCTCTACATTGACGAAAGCAGGTCTGTCATTGGAGGCCTTCAGGTGTGAACGTTTGTATTTTGGGGGGTTTGGTGTGTCAGGTGCAGCAAAGGACAGATGCTTAAAGCCTCGTGGGTTTCTTCCCATTCGCCATCCGCAGTCTGGAGTGCTCAAGAGCACCACGCTGCTTGCGCCTGCTCGGCGACGACTGCGGATACTCTGCCCAGAGCACCAGAGATGTCGCACGAGAGATGAAGCTGAAGCCAGGATGATGGACGATGTTTATTTCGACCATGAGTGGTGGCTCGCTCGCCGCTACTCCCTTTCTGTTGCGCCTATCTTCACCACTGGTCTCCTGACCTTTTGCTCTTTGTCTTGCGACCTCTGCATGTTGCATGCCGTTGTTTCACCTGTGCATCAATGTGACTTTTGAGGATCTCTCTGCAGCTTTGAGTGTGCTTCGGACTGACCCTTTTCGATTTTTCCTCGAAGCACGGATTCGACTGGCAGTGAGTGCTCTTGCTCTTGCTCCTGCTGCGTTGCTGCTGCTACTGCTGCGGCCACCGCTACCGCCACAAAGACCTCCTCCTCCCGCTGCTATGTCTTCTGCTTACACATGCACATGTCAACTGTATTCAGAGCGGTCAGAACGATAAGTACCAGCACTCCTCACAACGGTAACAACCTAAGTGGCGAAGCGCAGCAGGTTGACGCCTCGGGCCGCATTGAACAAGACCTGGCAGACGGCGCGAACATCCAAAGCAGGACAGCGGTCCGCATGGAGCCGAAAAGAGGCTCAGAGGATTGCATGGTGGTGTACACGTAGGGTGCGCCAGCCTGGGTTTAGAATGAACGATCGTCAGGGAGAACAGATGAGAACAGGTTTCAGCATTCTTGTGCGAAGTTTCGCCGCAGAACTGGCATCGAACGTCTGCTAGGCTTTTCAACCACGGCTGCAGCTTCGCGAGGTGCAGTGCAATGCCGTTGCGACGACAACTCTCTTCAGTCTCTTGTCTTCTTCGCTTGGCTTCCCCGAAAAAGCCCAGAACACAATGCCATCCATAGCCCGTAGCACTTGACCGCGCTCATGGGTTGATCGGCGGCCGTCGATGGAAGCTACGCGGCGTCTGCGCGCCGTCCACCCGCTCGGTGCCGGGGGTTTGTGCTTTGGGGTGGCTTTCGGTGCAACGATGAATCGAGGGCAGGGGCAAGGTTCGAAGGTTGCAGTGTGTTCAGGACGTTGGGCGAGCAGGAAAGCTTTCCTGCAAAATTCTTTGGACTTCATATGACTCATATGACTTCAAACTAGCCGAAGCGCCGCTAGAGAAATCACATGGTGGTGTCGAGAAAAAAATTGCGCACTACAATTGCAAGTTCAGCTTACCGACATCACGACCGGCACTTCTGTTTTTGCAGCAACGTAGCTGACACTCAGCACGTTTTCGTTTGCTGCCGTATCAGGGTTTGGTGAGTATCTTGAAGGTGTCTACCCCCTTGGCAACGCCTTGGTCGATCCCGGTGCCTCTTCACGACGCGCCTCAGGGCTCGGTATGCCACACGGTGTCGGATAGTTCAGAAGTAGGGTCTGGCAATAGAGGGGCTTGAAGAGTCAGAAGTACATGATGTTGTGGTCCCCATGTACTTACGCGAAAATAGATACACCAAACTATGTTATTAAGGCCCGGCAAAGGTTGCAATTCAATACGAGGCTCCTGACTCGTCGCCGTCGTCGACATCGTCGTCGAATCAGTGGAATGTCGTCCGTCGTTCGATGAAAAGGAGGTTTCAGGCCGGGGGATTGAATTGGGGCCCAAGCGTGTTCGTAGTCACCCTTTCTTCTGCAGACTATGAATCAGCCCACATTGTAGAAGGATTGAAATGAAGTTACTGGCAGACGGTCGAATGTTCTGCCCAAGACTTGAACACAATGACAAGTCATCTGAGTTTGCGACGATTGGGTGACGAGCGGCTGCTGCAGCTTGGCGGTCGATTCCTTCATTTTCGTTCAGTCTTTGGTCTGCAAGCCCGAAACCTCAGCGACACTAACTCAAAAAAATTGAGCCCTTGCTTGGAAACCATCACGCACTTAAAGGCTCGAAGCCCCGAACCTCCACCCCCAACCCACTCCCTAAGCCCAAACAAAACAGACCTCTTCCAAGGGCCCTGCTCCGGCTTTTGGATCCCTGGAGTCTCGCCCGTTCTTCCGCCGCCTCGCCGCTGCTCCGAGCTTTTGCCGGCAGCGAGGCGCCAAACGACACTGTTTGGGATCCCTTTAGGGTCCAGGGGTTGGGCTTCTTGTCCCCTAAGTCAGGAATGTCTACTCTCACTCGCGGGATCCCTTGATACTTCGAGCCTACCTTCATGTGGCGTGCATCTGATCGGGCCTGACCGGAGTGTTTTTGTAGTTTCATCAGCTCCCCAAGGGGTTGGCAGAGAGATGGTATGGTCTTGAAGGAAGCCCGTTGTGAAGCCTTCGAGAAACTCATGTATCTTGTAGTAAGGAACATTCCTAGAATTGAACTCAGGATGCTGCTGGTCGTGAGTTGCGGTGTGTATTCCTCCGTGAAGCGGTTGGGTTCCCTGTAGTATCAATTGCTACTGTATAGGCGAATCCTGAATCGAAGGGATGTGCATTCCAGATCAGTCTGCGGGTCGTGGGATATCCAGTATCCATTGCGAGGATCTCTGGCATGCGCACTGCCTCCGGGAACTGCTGGCATCTGCGGGCGGGGAAGGTTGGGACTGAAAGCCGAGAGTTTAGGCTTTGAGCTTGAGGTTTCGGGATGTGAAATCCCCCCTGAAAAAAGGAGAAAGTGCTTGGGATGTTTTCGGCTTTCACAGTCTCAGATCCTAGATCCCAAGCTGGGGCCCATGTAGTCCTCCGGGCGAAAGTGGTAGCCGGGCAAACCAACCGAGAGGAAGCTTTGTGCTGCCTTCTGGGCAATTCCTGCCCCAGTCCGTGTAGACAGCCTTGATCGTTTGAGCAGAGATAGACAGATAGGATCTTTGAGTGCGCAAACTGCAACACTTAGTGGAGGCTTTTCGGGCTCCAGGCCAGAAGCCTCGCTTCTGAGCTGCCGAGGCTGTACTGGGCCTGCCCTCCGCTGGGGAGGTTGCAGCTGGCGGGAGGCCGGAGGCCAAAGAAAGGGAATAGACTCCTCTCCTCTCCTCTCCGAGAGTTCCGTTTCTGGTGACCCGGCTTATCTACGAGAGCATCCTAACCATGAAGCTGGTTCTGGCAAAAAGGAGCAAGATTGGAGACCTTGCCCAGCAACTGTACAGAAGTGTTATTATCTTCAGCAGGAAGACTGCTTTCAACACGAGAAACCCCCGCATACAACCCAAGCTTTTGCACATGACGCTTCACCGCTCCAAGGCGCCCAAGAGGAGCCCTTACAATGCCTTAGAAAGCCCGAAAAGTCCGCGATTTCCTCCAAATGCGCAGGCTTTTGCCTTCAGCCACGGCTCGAGGCCTCGGCCTGCAAAGCCTCAGTCGAGGGTCCCTTGGAGATCTGGTCGATTCAGGGCCCTCTTTGAGGGGAGAAGCGGGGGGGGGGGTCTCGGCGGCCTGTACAGGAGTTAGAACTGTTGGCTGTTTCTTGGTTGGGCGTTGAAGTGTCTCGATAAGGTGGTTTTGGCTCGATTGCTGTTTAGATGTTCTAGGTGATTCAGAGTGCATTCGCAGGGTCTGGGTTTACGGCCTCGGGTTTGGAGGCGTCCCAAGGATTCCTGGTCGAACTTGTTACCGAGTTGTGGCTTTCTGGGCAGGGGGGCCTCACTGGCTCCAGCGTTGTGATCTTAAGTTTTCGGATCCCTTCTAGCGCAACTGACGCACGCTAGAGTTTCACTCATGTTCTCCCTCAGGGATCCTGGTTGGACGAAGGCTTTCGGTTAGGTCCTCTGGGGTTTCAGCGACTTCCGAGGCTTGTTTGTGTAGGGTCGTCAACGAAAGTCGGTGAGTGATACAGTTTAGGCCAGCAAGAAGCAGAAAGCAGCTCAAAGCATCCCATCCGTGTATCCCGGCACCACGGGTAAGGTCTACAGTGACGTGCTATACCGGGGCTTCTACTATGCCGCCACAGAATTGCAGGACTTCATCTCCGTTTGAGGAACCGAAGCATCTTCCCAGCATTTCAGCCTCGAAGAGTTTCTGCCTATTCTCGAAACGCACCCTATTCTCGAAACGCACCTTCCCACAGCTTTCCTGGCTCCAGCAGCGTCGCCGGCTTCCCCACAGAACGTCAAGGCTTCGACCCTGAACCCCCGACCTAACCCCTAGCACCTAACATGGAGGCGTCGGAATAATATGGAATAATCAGATTGCGCATTATCCGGTTGTAGTCCCGGATACGCAACAGAAACCATACGTCAACTGTTCGTAAGGCTTTTGTGTATTTGCAGCCATCCCTATGCGGAGGAGTCCTGGCTCGAGGTGGACACTTTGCCTCGCGTCCAGGCATCCGAGCTCTCCACCGAGGCGAGTTCATTCAGGGAAATCGGGTGCAGGTCTGCAGGTCCACTAGACTCTTGCGTTTGCTCGAGCGTCGAGTTGGGGTCTCCTTGGTGGCTTAGGACTTAGGTTTTGGGATTTGTTTGGGGAAACGGGTTGGTTCAGGGTCTGGCGGTTTGGGGTCTAGAATTTCGCGGGAGGTTTCTGCTTTTATGGTTTGTTGCAGTTCAGTACTTGTAGTGTGTGGCGCAGGAACTCAGGGACTGCTGCAAATCGAATTCAGGAAACTCCAAGATGCTGAGTGCCACTGCCTTCCAAGTTTGAAACCGCCCTTTCAAATGTTCAGCCCTCACTCAGACGACCTCTCAGGAAGCCTGCACCTCCTAAGTCAGTGGTAGCCGTGGACGATGCCGGTGCTGGTGCTGGTGCTGATGGCACATAAAACCTTCCTCCCAAACGTCAACCTGGATCCTTACGTCCCGGCTGTTGTAGCTGTGCCTCCAGGAGTTCATCCAACGCTTCGAGCAGAAAAGCTGCCCCGTCGTGTTGGAAGGCCCGAGCTGCCAAAACTGTCTCAGGCTGGCGATGTTGAGCTCGGACTTCTGAAGAGGCGAGAGACACACCATTCTCAAAATCCATGAATCAGATCCCAGCTAACCAGTCTTCGAATCCAGAGAAGAAGGAGCCTTGTATAGGAAGCCTTGTGCAACCACGTTGCCCCGTGAGGCTGTGTGAATGATTGGCCGGCAATGAAGACTTGGTCACGGGAGGACGGTTGGGGTGGACGTCTTGTGCCCTAAGTCGAGACCTAGATGTTGGATCGCTCGTGCTCAACAGTGTTGTCGCAGTCTCCAGGCCCGCCGACCGAATCATATTGGGGCAATGTCCCACGCAGCCACAAAGCCTTAAACTGCACTGCCACCGTGGAGTTGAGCCAGCCGGATCTTTCGGCAACAAAGCTTCGCGCCTCGACCTGAAGAGCCAACTCGCAACGTCATCGTCAAATTCACATAAACCCGAAACTTCTTAAACCCTAAACCCGAAACCCTCAACCAAACCCTGAACCCCAAGCCACTCCCTGAAAATGCCCGCACTAAACTCTAAACCTTCAGCAATCAACGCTGCCCGAAAAACTCTAAACTCCCGAAGCCCTTTCAACCCTCCCCTACGCGGATGTTCTGCCAGCAGCACCTGCCTCGCCTGCAAAACCCAGATTAGGCACCGAACCGAATTCGGCCCTAAGCGACAACAACGACATACCAGATCGCAAGGCCCCAGATTGTCGGTTGGGTCTTTGGAAATTTTTCAGCGCCCAGCCGGTGGGGCTGAAGGACTTTCGGAAATCCTTCAGGCCGCAGCCGGCGGGGCTGAGACAGATTTTTGGAAATCAAGGCCCAGCCGGTGGGGCTGAAGGACGTTTTGGAAATCTTTGAGGGCCACCTTCATACCCGAGCCAAGTTCTGCACGAAGGACCTCCTCAGGCGCTTCGCGGACACGCGCTTCGCGGCCGGCGCTTGCGACTTCCCGCTGCAGGCGACGGAGTTGTCTGTACTGTAAGAAGTATTTTTGGCATTTGGGTATACGCGAGCACAAGAGAGAGAGAGAGAGAGAGAGAGAGAGAGAGAGAGAGAGAGAGAGCGAGAGCGCGAGGGGGGACTGCTCCCGTCTCAAACCCCGAGCAAAGCAAAGAGAGCGAGAGAGAGAAAGAGAGAGAGAGAGAGATGGGGAGGGAGGGATTTGGGCGGATCCGAACAGAGAATGTAATATGCAAAGAAGCAGACAGAACGCTTCCTTGATGGGCTAGTCGAGCACAAGCAAGATTGCCAGTGAAGTTCGGGACTTAGATGATTATTCGGTTCAAGACGCGGTCAAGAGATGTCAAACTTCGGGTGGGGTTGGAGTTTCTGGATCAGTTGTGTGTGTGTGTGTGTGTGTGTGTGTGCGTGCCCCCCCACGCGCTTTGTCAAACTTAAGTGCCCAGAACGCCCAAGCCAAAGCTATCTAACGCTCAACCAGTGCGGCCCAGGAATTCTATGCCTACGCGGATCGACTCTTTGCTTGGCAAGATCAGATTAGTGCCCTGTGGTTTGAGTCTGTCGGGTTCTGGGATGGCAACGCTATGCTGTGCTATGCTAAGCTGCTATGCGGAGAGTGTATGAGACCAGTCTGGATAGTGTTTTCCTTGCAGTGCATGTCCCTGCAGCGTGGTAGGTGCGAGGGGATCAGTTGGCATGTCAAGGTCAGTCTGGGGTCTTTGCTTGCAAGTTTGCAAGAGCTGCTCCACACTCGACCAGTTGGTGATGCGTCCTTGTTGCCTGGTCAATACTCACATTCTTCGTTATGTATAGGTTCCTCACGTCTTCCGGAGATCGTCTTTCTCGACTTTACCATGCATCTCAGGAAACATGGATGACGTTCCCATGTTCATCTTCGACAAGTACTTCTCCAAGCGAGCAAAGGCATTGCTGGACGACTACGAGGCCAAAAGTCAGTAGTGCTCCCATATCGCACTTCTGTAATCGATTTTCGGTTGTTCCTCACTCGACCCCGTCAGGGTATCTTGGTTGCCCGGTGGTCCTCCTTCGACATGATTTTCTCAGAAGGATGTGTCACCCTGTCTCACTTTCTTTGTAGCCGCAGCGGCCTGGAAGCGGCCGGCCCACAACACCTGAATCTCATTCTCGAAGGTTCCTCGCTTCTTCCGTGGCCGTGACCTCTTCGACCTGCTTGGCGCTCCTCGTCAGCGATTTCGGAGATCTCCTTTGATGGAGGTAGGTAAGGCAAGAGGAAAGCCTAAATCGAACACTAGGGCCGTTTTGGGGGTTGTATTCTGAGGCAGGAGTCCGGAATACCATTCTGAGGTCCTGACTGGATCGAATCACTCTGAAGTGGTCCCACCACCAGGGCCCTGTTGCGTAGCGGCTCAAGCTTTGCAGGCCCTGGAACCCAAACCAAAACTTGGCTCGTAAACCTGAAGCCCACAAACTCCTACATGGGCATCCTTCGAAGTCTCCTCGAGAATGAATTCAGAGTCTGAGATTCTGCTTGCAGCGAAGGACCAGCGACCTGACTTTCGGTGGCTGCTCATCGGGCACCGGCGGAGTGGCTCTAAGTGGCACCTGGACCCGTGCCTTCGGCATGAGGTAAGGGGAGGGGGATTCGGATTTGGGAAATTAGGGTTTAGGATTTAACGGTTTAGGGTTCAGTGCTCGAAGCTTGGGGGCGACAACTTTCGGGGCTTCGCGATCCGAGGATTGCCGGGCCTGAAGTGTGAGTCCTCGGCAGGAAATACAACCACTTGAATGATGGGTAATCGCCGTATCTGATCTTTATATGTAAAACTACAATATACCACACAACCCTGTTCCAATCAGTAAGGCGCCTAGCCTTAGCCCTGGGAAATCTCCGCCAAAATGCCGCTCACAAAGTCCTGTATATGCCCTCCGAAAACCGCTGCCCCAAGTACACAGGAGCCTAACGGCACAGAGGCGGATACACCGCAGACTCGTAGACTCGCGAAACCGCAAACCAACCGACTTGAAACGCAGCCTCCTAACGCCTGAAATTCTGGAAAGCCCTAATTTAAACCCCAAGCCCTGAAACCCCCAAACCATGTAGGAACAAGACCTGTGCCTGGAACGCCGTGGTCCGGGGTCGGAAGCGCTGGCTCCTCTTGCCACCAGGTTGGATGGGGCTCACAATTTTGAAAGGCAATGTGCGCGGTAGGTTTGAGGAGTTGCAGAGCGCATGTCTCAAGCTCGCCGTAAACCCCAAGACCTCGGCCCTAAGCCCACACAGCCGGGATCGAGGCCGAACTTGGGGTCCTGGGCACAGCATGCCCCAAGCTCGAAGCATCCCGAGGATGCCCTCCGCCCGGCGTCCACCCGCTTCTCTGCTCAACCAGCTCTCGATTTCGGCAGCTTGAAGTGGGGCTTTCGTAGACTTGCTTTATCGCGTTTGTGGTCAGTCAGGGAAAACTGTCCTGGGAATTCCGTTGTTTTGGTAGCTGCGCAAATACCCGATCTCTAGAACCCGTGCCCGGAAGGGAAATGCACGACGGCCCCCAAAACCCCCAATCAATCCAGGGACCCTCAAAATTTCAACAGGATCTGGGGGGATGTTATCGTACAGCCGTAGAGCTCGACCCTTTTGGATCCTGGAGCTCTCCCCGGAGCCCTCAGCGGAGGTCGAAGGATGGCGCAGAGGCGGCTGAAGCGGTTTGGGTACAGTACATAACACACGCTTTATTGTTCTTATACGCTTATAATATAATCTACCCCAACATCCTATTCTAATTATTACGGCCCTTTTTTCGGATATGACCTGTTTGATGTCTAATCGGGCTCTACGTCGTTGCTTTCTTCGGGCTGGCTTGTGGTGTGGGGTTTAGGTTCGTGCGCTTTGTAGTTTCTTGCGGCTTTATACGTTTTCCGGTTTGGGCGGTTTTAGGGTTTGGGGCTTTCTGGTTCTGGGCTTCTTCGGGTTTAGAGTCACCGGGTTTGGATTTGGGGCGTGAGACTGAGGTTCGCAGTTTAGGGTTTAGTCCTCCGCTTCGGAGTTTGGGGTTTTAGTGTGGCTTTGAGGGTCTTTGTGCAGCTTGCTTGTGTTCGGTTGGGGATGCATCTGAAATTGAATTGGACTCCACGCAGCGCCCTGGAGGCGTGAGAAGAAGGCCTACATTCTGCTGGACTGCAGTGGTCGTAGTTGTTGGAAGTCTTGTGGAACCCTGATTAACCGCTTTAGTCTGGACACCTTTTTGTAGGAGAGACGAAGATCCCTAGACTCTATAGACCAAGTGACTGGATATGAAATTGGTTTCAGCGCCATATCCCAAACACAACCCTTCTTGAAGTTAAGCCACCTAGCTTGTGGGGTGGTGTGTCATGATTCAAGGTAGACTAGGCGCTTCAACAGAGTGACCGTGGTCGGAACGAGAACCCAGCGTCGCAGGTCACGCAGCCTCTCAGTTTGCTGGAGTGGCTTCCCGGTTGACATCTTGGGGGATTCTGGCAGCTTGGGGGTTTGCGGGCAGGGTTTCGGTTCGGCAAGATTCTGCAATGGCCTTGTGCATGACTTCTGGTTGTTTTCCAGAGTTTGACAGATTGAAGTTTGAAGGTTCTGCATTGTACTGTAGGTTCAGCCTAAGCCCACTCACTGATCTCCCCGGATCGCTGTGGCTTATTGGCCGTCCTTCTCGTTCGGAGATGCAGAGGGCACAATCGTTGCGGGCACCAGGGCTCTGCTTCTTGTGCAAATCGTAGGTGTGCTTGGACCAAATTTGGCTATGGTCTCGTCACAACGCTTGTGAGTTTCGGGTTTCGGGATTTGGGTTTTCAGAGCAGCTTCGCGTGCCTCCTTCGAGCTATCGAACTCCCCCGCCCGAAGGTTATGCCGCAACTTAAGGCAAGGTGCGCAACATGACCAGTACACGTCCTGCAGCGCTCTGGTGCCCTTCTGATGCTTGGGGCTTTCATGTGTCAAAGATCCAAGCCCAGATGATGTGCGGTCCAGGTTCGCAAACTTCTACGAAGAGTTCCCAAGCTGAAGATATCCTCGCTGGAGTCTGGAAGTCTGGTCGTTGGAGAGGGCCCATCAGTCCTAGTCCTCAGGGCTCTAAGGCCCAGGCTTGCATTCGGCCTCGCAGCGACACCCCACCTTCCGTTCAAGGGCTGTTACCGAGGTCGAACCGGCCTTTGAGTCCAGACGTGGTATTCCTAGCAGTGCCAGGAGTCCGCACTGGCACTAGCAGCACTGCATCTTAATGTTGATGTCGCCATTCTGGCAGATGCATAGGACCCGAAATACTGCGGTCAGAAACCCCCCCCCCCCGTACATGTACCCTTCCCCGTCCCCCCGTGACCGTGCATGGTGCATGGCCCTACCTCAGGCTCAAACGACACGTTCAGCTGAACTCTGCTTGGGAGCTGAAGGATCGCACCTGCTTATTGCTGGGGTAAGGTTTAAGGCGCTGTCATGAAGGTCTGTGTAGACACTGTTTACCTCCAGGCTTACATACAACCGCAGGTATCTTACGACATGTTGCGGTATGTTCATTGATTTTTGGTATGTGCTTCAGCTCCAGGAGGGAACATGCGGCCCGGGCGACCTGGTCTTCATCCCCAGTGGCTGGTGGCCCGCGTGGCCGCAGCGGGAAGGGTGGGGAGGAATGGAAAGGGTTTCAGTTGATGCTTCGGATTGGCGCTTAAACAGGTCTGTGTCAGGACTTTAGCATCCTTTGTTTGGGCTTTTGGAGATTTGTTGCCTTTCTAGGGCTCGGGGATTAGGACTCTGAAGATTCGAGCCGTGAAGAACCTTTGCAGATTGAAGCTTCAGGCATTTAGGGCTTGCTTGCGAAGGGTTTTAGTTCAGGGTTTTGCAGTTTCGGGGCGGGGCTGCAGGAGTTCTGGGTCGAAGGGTTCAGGGTTTAGGAGTTTCGAGTTTCAGGGTGAACAGGCGTTCGGATTGAGGACTGAGTCGCGATTCGCCAAGCAGGCAGGTGGCATTTTTCTTGCGCGCTTAAGCGTCGGCGGACCCCCTTAGGACCTCTGTGCAGGGAGTGCTATTTGGGGGAAGCGGAAAAGCAATGTTTGAAGATGCTGCTACGAAGACAAAGAGACTTGCATGGCTCTTACCTGGTCAGAGCTGTCCGAGGCATTGCGTCTTAAACTTGGACGATGACACGATCGCAGCGACTTGATGGCTCTGTGGTGCCTTCTTACTAAGCGAGTTCACAGGCATTCGTGCAGGGCTTTGGATCAAGAGGGGTAGTGCCTCGTCTTCGAACGGCACGAGGGTATGCTACTGTAGAGAGTTATTGTAGACAGTGTCAGGACCATAATTTCGTACACTATGGAGAAGCGGCACTTTCGAACATGCGGTAGAATAGAGGTAGAGGTGTACTACGCCTAGAACCTGACGTGCAGCTCGTTTGTGTGTAGCAGGCGTCGAATCGCCTGACGCCTTCGGTTTAACAGCCTGCCGCGTGATCCTGCAGCCGAGGTCACCCAGAACTATGCCTCCGAAACCCACGTCCACGGCATTCGCCGCTTCTTGTCCGAGAAGAAGGACCAGGCCATGAGTTGCAATTCCATAACCACGACTACGCAGGGCAATGCTACCAATCCTCCCCCTCCTCCTTTTGCTGCTGCTACCAGCAGTCTCATACACAAGTTTACCTGGTCCATGTTCCTTTGTGCCATCAGCATGTCGACATTGGTTTTCGGAATCGTGACTCAGATCGCTCCCCGGGATTTATGGCTTCACATGATACCCGGCCACACTTTCGACGACACCTAAAAATTGCAATTGGTTTAGTTCTGTAGAAAGATGTCGGGTCTGGGGATTCTCGCTTTTCTGGGACCCTGGCGGGTCGTCTGAAGGCACCACTACACAAGACTTCCGTCCGAAGGAATTGCCGCTGGCAGCAACAAGTTGGAATTCCACACTCAGAGGGCCCAAAGAGCTCGGTGTGAAGAGTCCTCGAAGTGCGAGCTTTACAGGGAAGCTTGCGAACCTTCAGCTGTCTCTGAATCCACGTGGCAGGTCAGCGGCACACCCGAAAGGGAGCTCTTGTCGGGTCGCTTTGAGGAGGCTCGAATTTTCTGCGTTGGGCCGAGCCTTCGTAGGTAGTGTGACTTCTGCTGTAACCGTGCGGAGCCTTACTCGTTCGCATGTTGTCGGTGTAGTCTGCGAGTAGCCCAGCTTCAGCGGCCATGTGGCTGACGGACGGACTTTTGAACAGAGGAACCCAGGAACCCTTCTTCCATAGGGGTAACGGCATGTTCGCAGCCTCTGCCTCATGCGACTATGGACGCAGATTGAAGCAGCCCTGGCGATTTTGGAGGACTCGAGCAAGGAATCGACCAACACAGAGCCTGACTTTTCGGAGAAATCATCGAGCTTCTTTCCAACCCAAACAGCCTTGACCCTGCCGAAGCTGAATCATAAACCACGACGTCCTAATCCCCAAGGCCAAAATCCCTGACCGTAGACGGAGACTCCCACCCACAAAACCCTCGGAACACTCTGGCCCGCCTGGTGGTGGCTGGGTCGCACAAACCCAGTTCGGCCTGACCATGGAACGCCAGACGTGTTGGGGGCATTGTCTGCTATACCTCGCTAATCAATCCACAAGCACACGACTCTGGCGTGCATGCGTAGCAAGCTGAGAGCAAGCCCTACTACTAAACACTAGCAGTAGCACACCACTTCAGAAGCCTTGAAGAACTGAATACCCGGATACCAAGCCCTGACTCTCAGGCTTTGGCCAAAGCTCGCCCAGATCTGCGACATCCTCAGATCTGACTTGGGGTCTGGGAGTCCAGTCTAGGATTCGGGTTCAGGGTGTATGTGGTACAAGCAAGGTTTGGCACACTTCCATTTACTCTTCCCACTGGAGAGAGGCCTACATCAGGGCATCTTAACGCACTGTCCTGTCTGACTCACCGTGTTGCTGTCTCCCCCCACCCCCATTTGCAAACTGTATTAGAGTCCCGGCGATCGTGTAACTGAGGGTCAAGTTCCAGAATCCTCTCAAGAGCACTAGTCGCTCCTCCCGCCTCAGCCGCTGTTTGACCCTCCTCGCTCGGCAGCTTGCTTCAAACTCCTCTGGCTTCTGAGGCTGGCTGAGAGCGAGTCTCCAGCCGAAGAAGCGAAGACCGCGCGGTGCCAAGGGTGTGAGGTCAATTTTCCGGGCTTCAGGTGTTCAGGGTGTAGGAGCTGATTTGGGGTTTAAGGGCGGGGGGGTTGGTTTAAGCGTTTAGCACTGAGGTTTTGAGGGCGTGGGAGTTGAGGGCCTGAGGAAGTCCAGGTTAGATTTGAAGTCTCTGATGTGCTGTGCCTTGGGAGGCTCTGGTTGCGAGGGTGCGTTTCAAAGAGCCATGGCCACGGCCATGTCGTTGGCTGATCCCAGCGCTGACCGAGCCCCTCCCCGCGCCGGCGATTGTGCTTGGCACATGTTGGACGGGAAATGGCTGTCGCCACGACAGTGCGTCGGAGTGCCCCCGCGCTATCTCTTGCCTGGCAAGTTCTTTGCGCGGAGAGCACAGTCGCGCAGTCATGTTTGCGGGAGATGTGGCAGGAAATTCGATGTGAACTTGATGACGATAGGCTACCCCACAACGGGCGCACGCGGTGACAGAAACGCCACGGCTGTTTGGATGCACGTGGCGTGTGCTGCCAAGGATCCAGAGTTGGTTGAAATTGCGAGGATGGGGCGCGAAGACATGCTCAAGGCGGTTCTTGCCTTTGATGCTCTGCCAGATGCTGTGCAGGACTCCCTCATGGAGGAGATTAAAGGTCAGGCCGGCCTAGGCCCAGGCGCTTCCGGCTCTTCTGTTTTGGAAGAGCCTGTATTTCCAGAGAGTCAGGCGGGCAGTGGGTTCCAAATCGCTCCGGCAACGGCACCTGCGTCATTGTGTGGATCTTTGCTGCCTTTTCAGGCGGAGGGTTTGGCTTGGATGTTACAGCAGGAGGAAGGGGAGTGTCGTGGTGGCATCCTTGCAGACGAGATGGGGATGGGAAAGACCTTGCAGATCATATCGCTGATCCTTTCTAGTTCAGCCTCACCAACCTTAGTGGTGGTGCCCTTGACAAGTCTGTACCAATGGGAGCAGGAGGTTCGACGCTTTGTGAAGCCAGGAAGCCTGCAGCTCTTCACGTTTTATGGTCCAGGGAGCGCTTTGCCAGATGATGTGGGCACAGACATAGGGCGGAAGGTTCTTGTGCTGACGACTTTCAGCAAGTTGGAGAGGGAGCACCGAGATTCGCGCGAGCTTGGGGCCCAACCGGCAAAGCGAAAGAGACTTGCGCACGAAGCAGACCCAGGAAGAGTTGCAGCGCCCCCTCTCTTTCAGATTCCTTGGCAACGAGTGGTGCTGGACGAGGCCCATCGAGTGAGAAACCTGGCCTCCCTCACCAGCCAGGCAGCGCTGAGGTTGAAGGCGTCTGGAATCAGACGTTGAGGAGCTTTTGATGTTTTGATTACAGTTGTGCCCTTCATCGGGATAACGACCTCAGCAGTTGCCACTGTCTTGCTCTTACTGCTATATGGTCCATGCTACCCTGGGTCAGGTTGCTAAACCAGAACCAAGGCTTCTCTGAGATGGTGTGTATCCGGAACTCCGCTGCAGAACCGGACAGGCGAGCAGGGACGGGGCAAACCCGTTTCAAGTTTGCGGGAGCATACACTTTGGTGTTTAGGGTTGATGGAGACATCTGCCGTTCACAAGCGAGTTGTTGAAGCGTGTCCGGTGCAGGCATATGTACATGTGTTTAACCTTGTTTACAAGACCAGCGTTCATGATATGGACACACCCACGCACACTGGCGGCAACATGTCCACAGGACCGTCCAGCACCTTTGGCACGAACACGTCTCATCTCCAGCTCCCGCCAGGCAACAGGGCATGCGTGCGAGGCCCCCCTTGGAGCCCTGAGTTGCTGACGCAAGCTTGCGTCAACACCAAACTGCGGGTAAGCGCCACAAAACCGGCCGGGCTTCTTAAGGAACGTGACACCCCCGTTGTGTTCACACACCAGGTGTTTGGCCACTGCGTTTTTATGCAGAGTTTCCTTGAGCGAAGCGCACACAGGCGAACTGGCCTCCATGGTACGCTTCCTGCGATTGCGGCCCTTTGCCTATCTGAGATGTGGCAGAAAGGACTGTGGCTGTGAGTGCTTTCATGTGGAGTGTGATCCGGGGACACAGAAGTGCCGCGAATGCAAGCACAGCCGAACGCTGCATCGGAGTGTCTTCACATCAGAGATTCTTACTCCTATTCGCCAGCATGGCTTCCGGGACAGAGGCAAGGTCGCCATGGAGACGCTCCGCTTTGAAGTTCTGCAAAAACTGCTCCTCCGCAGAACGAAGCTTGCCGTCGGCATCGGACTTCCGCCGATGCATGTGTCCGAGCACAAGGTTTCGCTAAGCATCTCTGAGCGGCGCCTCTACGACTCTGTGAGAGCTCAAAACCTGGCCGTGTTCGAAGACTACGCAGCGAATCTGACGAAAAACTTCTGCCACATCTTTGCCCTTCTGGCGCGGCAGCGCCAGGCCGCCTGCCACCCCCTCTTGGTGAATCACAACAAGGTCTTTTCCGGGAGATGCCCCCTTTGCCAAGGCATGGCCGAGACGGTGCTGGAGTGTGGCCATGGCTTCCACGAAGACTGCTGGGCGGACTACGTAAGGGACAGATTGCAAGAGTCGGAAGGTGAGGACGGTGAGGAGGAGCCATCTTGCCTTGCCTGTGCTTGGGGGGCGATACGCGGAAAGGATTTTTTGAAGGAGCTTCCGGGGAAACTCAGGAGTTCTAGGAAGCTCGATGCTGTGGCCAGCCGAATTGGGCAGCTTCTTGACGAGGATCCTTCTGCAAAGTTCTTGGTTTTCTCCCAGTTCACACACTTCCTTGAGATAGCGCACTGGAAGCTTCAGAAATGGGGTGCCGCTCTCCTGTGTGGCAATACTCAAGTGAAGAAGAGGCAGGGCGTTGTAGAATCCTTCCAATCAGATCCCGAGCTTCGGATCCTCCTCATCTCTCTGCAAGTCGGAGGCGAGGGCTTGAACTTGCAAAAAGCAAACTATGTCATGCTGCTCGACCCCTGGTGGAACCCTGCCGCCGAGCTGCAAGCGATGCAGCGTGCGCACCGAATCGGGCAGACCCGACCGGTGAAGGTGATTCGTTTCGTGTCGCAGGGCACGATCGAGGAGAAGATTCTGGAGCTGCAAGAGAAGAAGCAGAAGATCTTTGACAGCACGATCGAAGGCAACAACGAGTCTCTGCTTCGCCTCACCGGGGAAGACATCCAGCGTCTTTTCCGAGAGTGAGACGACGGACGGGGGCCAAGAAAAGAACGCGGGTCACCAACCACCGACGGCCAGGGCTTTGGCGGGCCCACTGAGATTCCCTTCAACTCATCACCGTTGGGTTCTGGTTGTTGCTGCCTTAGAGCAAGGGTTTTCTCTTCGAGGCCGAACGTCCAGCCGGCTTCTCCTTCTGGGACCATTTGAGGCGCCTGTTGTCCATTAGCTGCTGCAGTTTCTTTGGGCTTGGGATTCTTAGGTTTCTTGATAGGGTTCATAGGGCGGCAGGGAGTTGTGCCCTCTATCCTGTTTGGACACTCACCGTGATTGCCGCAGTTTCAGATCTACCCCCGAAGGCGCGCCTCAGCCTCACACTGCCAGAGCTTCGACTGCATGTCGTCTCTGGCTTGAGCTTGGGTTGTTTAATTTAAGCAGCAGTTGGAAGAATGGCAAATGCTTGGGCAAGCATTGTCATCGATTGTAGAGGTACAGTGGCAGTGCTTCATTTCTATCCAACTGCCAGCGAAGGATGATCTGACTTTGGTAGCTGAAGTTTCATATTGGTATTTTATTTCATGTTCAGGGTTGCTCAAAGGCATGAGAATCCAGGCAAAGGTGCGGGTGTTGATCAGTCCAGAACCCAAAGCCTTCAGCCTTAAACTCTGAACCCTCATGCGACAATCAAAATCTTCACCCTAGCTTTCCGCAAGACCGACAGTCCTAAGACCTACTCGCTCCTGTAGCTCATATTCCACATGTTCCCTTTGGCCTCAAGCCGAAACCCTTCACCCAGCACCCGTAAATCCCGAACTCCTATCCTAAATTGCAAACCCTGCAGCTGCCGTAAACGCAGGTCCACCGGAAAGTCGCTGGGGTATCAGGCTCCGGATGAGGACAGCCCCGTGGCCGTGGTAGTCGCCGTCGCCATCGTCGTGGTCATCGTCGTTGTCGTCATCGTCGATGATGATGACGACAACGACGGTAGCCGTCACTCGTTTCAGGCTCAAGTTTGCTTGACCACAACCCACTGCTGCCACCGTGTTTTCCCAGGATCCGGATTCAAAGCGACTTCGCAGGCCTGCACGGGAGGAAGTGGGCCGTCGGTTTCCGTTCGTTCTCTTCGATATTGTAACCGTTGTGACTGTTTCTGATACGGTCGTTGTGAGTAGTGCCACATCCTAGAAATCAGGAACTACATGGCTGTGTTGGAATGCTGAGCCGAAGCTTCCTAGATCAATGGATCGAAGGTCGAAACTGGAGACCCCCAAGTCCAAGACTCGAGACTTCTTCCCAGACCCTGAAAGGCAACACTCGCATCGTTTCGTCGCAGCCGGGAAATCGTGGAAGGAAGACCACCGCAAAGGGTAGCCTTCTCCTCAAGAAGAAAGCTAGCCTTGAAACGAGCTTCTACACCTGTCATCAGAAACGGCACCTCACCGCCACACTTCAAGAACGATCAAAGAAGCTCCTACCTGTGATGGTCGTTTGCTCTTGGCCCCGTCCCACCTTGGCGTCCCTTGTAGTCCGAGAGAAGCTCGAGTCGCAGTATCCGCACGATGAGCGGGCATCGATGCTAGAATGCTAGCAGCCATTACGCACACACCGTGCAGGTGCTGAGCCTTGAGTCGCGACGAAGCCTTGCGCGAATTGAGCGCTGAGGCATGCAGGTTAGTGACCGCAGCTGTGAGCATCAGTTTTCATATCTCAGTATTTGAGGTTGGGGCTGTGTTCTTGACCTTTGGTCTGGGAACCACGACAGCCATAACCGACGTCATGGTTCGCAACGGTGCAAGTATCGTCGATACAGTCAGTAGGATCCCAATCTAGCCACGCTCAGCCCATGCCCAAATCCCAAACCCTGACCCAAATTCTGAAACGTCGCACCACAAAAAGTGTGGCACTCCAGCCGATCGAGGCGGCGTGGCCTCATGCCAAAACGCCCCGAGCTGCTGAGAGCGCTTTCGGGGCCCTCCATGCGGGCATAGATCGCAGAGCCTTCGGGCTTTGAGTTTCGGGTGAGTCGGGATTGGGGATTTAGGGTTTGGGCTTTAAGCTTGCGTGGGGTTTCAGGTTCGTTTTGAGGGTTTGAGGTGTAGGGTTTTGAAGAGCTCGAGCGACGCATGCTGGCTGCTCGCCGTTAAAAAGTCTTTGCGTCGTCAGCTGCGCCCTTTGCTAAAACCTTAGACAACGGAGATTCTGCTTGCTCTGGCAATCAGCAGAATGCGTCACCGTAGCTTGCGGCTGCTGGGAGAAATATGTGTTGAGACCACGAGCACGTCCCTTCGACCACAGGAAAAGATTGAATCAAAGAATGAACGAAAGGAGAAGATCTGAAAGGAAAGAAACGCGGATTGCACTTCGCTTCACTGCCGGTGCCACCTCGGGCTGTTCTTCACTACAGCGTCACGTCTGAGCAAACCCCTCTTTAGGCAGTCTCCTCACCGGAATTTCCCAATGACTTCAGTTTTTCGCCCACGAGCTGCGACACTTTCTATCAATGGCCGGCGAGGATTTGGGCTACGGGAATCTGCTGGAAGCAAGTGGCCATACACCGGCACAAGCTGTTGACAGGAGCACAGAATTGGCAATCCAACCCGAAGTATTGACGAGAATACGATGAATGTACTTACGGCACTCTGTACCCGAGGTGCAATGCAGGGGTTTACTTCGAAAGGTCTCCCGAACAAAATACCGGGGATGAAACGAAAAAGCCGGGAGGATGCGTGATTCATAACCCCGGTACCTCTTTTGCTCCAACTCCACGCAGGTGCCTCGGCCCCTGCTTGGTCCGAGCGAGTGCGGCACTGGCCGGGTCCCAAGAAGGGTACCCCTAAATCCAAGCATTCCCACAACGCTAAGGGTTTTGGGCCGGCATGGCCACAAGCTCGATTCATTTATCAGGCTTCTCGCAACTGTGCTGCGTATTGATGCTTCGATGCGCTAAAAACCCAAAGCAATGGCCCCGGTTGTCCAGTAGTGTGCCCTCATTCGCTGTTGGCATCCTTTCAGTGCGGACCTCTGAGTTTAGCCGCCACCTTGCGCTGCTGAGCCTGCTCCGCTCTGACCGTAGCCTCTTGGAGCCTGTCTGCCAATATGATTGTACGGGAGTGTGCCCCCAAAACAATCTAATTCGTGCTCAGGCGCCCTCATTTTGCGGGGCTCCCAACTTGTCGGGTCTTGTATTCCCAACCCCCTGATCGAGCCGTTAACTGCAACCTCTACGCAACTCTCCTGAGAGCAGGTGGCGCGGGGGGGAGGAGGGCCCGCCGAGACGGCTGCTACGACTGCAGAGTCCCGCCGGGCCCCCCAGACAAGAGAGGGTTTGCAAAACAGCCTGCACTCAGGGACTTAACCTAGTCATTTTGACCTCCTGGACTGTTGAGTCTGAAGTGAGCCTCCAAAATCTCTGGGCTCAAACCCTCAAACACTCTTTAATGCTGAAGCAGAAGGCATCAAATCCCATCACCCGAAAATTGCCTCGTTTCAGCGCTGGAGCCCAAAGCGTCCAGGCCAAGCTCCACAAGGAGGCGCACAGAGCGCACCAGGGCTCTCCATGTTTTGCCACCGGCAGCACGTCCCATCTCCGAATCCCCAAAGCGAGGAATTTAGGGCTGAGGCAAGCCGCCTTTAGAGTTCCTACACAAATAACTACAACATAATAATAAGAATATACCCTCAAACTCCATCCTAAGTACAGTATTAAGGTGCCGAGTCGTTCAAGCAGAAGTAGGAGGATGATCAGCGAAATCGAGAAACTCTGGAGTTCAAGGCGATGGACTACGGGTATCCCAAGAGTCCTCTCTATAGTACCCAAAGAGGTTACTATAGAGGCACGGTTAACCGCCAGATGTTGGGTGTTAGGTCTACAAGTCGGGCTTGAGGTTTACGAGTTCCAGGAACCGAGTGACGGTAATGGTTGGTTCAGTGCTCTCATAGGCTATCTAGGGTCTTGAGGCATCTCTGCCGTCGAGGATGTCCTGTCACGATCTTGCTTCGTCTTGTGTTCGATAGCTCCTGGAGTTCGGACATCATGTTCAGGACATTCATTTCTGTTCAACTATCACACTCTTCAGTCGCCGGGCTGACTACGGTTCGTTTGTTGCATGTATGTACGTATGTACATACTTGTCATTGTGTTCGACGACACAGTGTTTGTCGCTCTGATAAAGGCTTCAACGTTGATTTTCCGGTTAGCACAAAGGGTGCTCCCTAACCAAATCGCGTGAAACCCCGATAAGCTCATGCAATGCTCCTCGCCAACTTTCCGGCAGCATTTGTGCTCAACTGAACCGCTCTTGACCGCGGGACTGGCAATGTCTCTGCTTTGGCTATGGCCTCTTGGATTATGAGGAGGGCTGATGCCAGAAAGACTTCTTGGTAGACGTTCCTTTGGCTTCCGGAGTGTTGCTACAGTGGGATGACTGGGTCAAGCGCTCGCATCCTCGCATCAAGGGCAGGCGGGCTTACTGGAGCTCAGTCATCTGTGTTTCGGCTTGACTACCGCCAAGCTTGTGCTGCTGGCATTGAGGTCCTGGCTGTGTCTCTGTTTGTGCACACTGGCAGAAGAGTCCTGCAGCGCAAGTCCTCGCCCGGTGTCGGGGAATTGCCTGCTTCAGAGACTTGTCCAAATCTTCCGTGTCATCGGAGTGACCGCTTGTGTGTGTGTGTGTGTGTGTGTGCGCATGCATGTGTATATATATATATATATGTATATGTATATATGTATATATGTATATATATATGTATATATATATATATATACACATATTGTATGTTTGTATATACGCATAGAAGAGCCTATCCCAACATACTCCGCAGACTGGCCTGGTGAAGAAGGAAGCCAATTACCTTCAGACGAGCCAGCAGCTCAACGTGCACAAACGAGATACACGCATGCACCACGGAAGTCAGAGCACATCATCGTTGGTTGAACCCGGTCCAATAGAACACTGCAGGTTGTTTCAGCTCTCCATCACGTTTACAATAATTGGGAATGCATTTTTTCACTGTTACTCTGAGATCGA